GAACCTACTTAAAGAAATAATGGCTGAAAACTCTTTCAATCTGGGAAATGACCCAGATTTTGCGATCTAAGAGGCCCAAAGGATTCCAAACAAAATATCTTCAGATAGACATACACCAAAATCCTAATAATTAAGCTCTCAAGATCCAATGATAAGGACAGAATATTGAAAATATCAAGAGGAAAAAGGGCAACCTATAAGGGAACCCCAATCAGCAGATTTTTGAACAAACTTCACAAGCACAAAGGGTCTGAAAAGAGATACGCAAAGTACTTAAGAAAAAGACAGTACTTAAAAAAAAGGTAGTTCAGAGTTAGCTATCCAGCAAGATTAACAAGATAGAAAGAAGAGTAAGGCCTTCAACTGAAAAGCCAAAATTAAAAGAATTTATCAACACCAAGCTACATAAGAAAGAACACCCTACAGGGGTTATTATAAAGCTGAAGAACAATGATTATCAAGACAAAAGACACCCCAGTTACTTAAAATGGAAAAGGAGGAGGAAGGTAACAATATCACCCATTAGAGTCACCCATTAGAGACCAGACCATCCAATGGTCACATCAACAGGCCACTGCATTGCCTCAGTAGTCTACCATATACCAACATCAGTAGAATCCCTAAACAAAAAATTATAGAACTGACACATAAGACTAAACACAAGAAAATAGGAAAGGAAAAAAACAGACAAAAACAAACACAAATACAAACACAAATCTCAATAATCCTCTACATGTATGTCTGTGCTCACTTAAGCATTAATTTAAAAACTGAACAAATGCTTCATACATACTTCTAGCTGTATGATGTATAAAAATAAAATACATAGGGCCCTCCCTGGTGGTGCAGCAGGTTGAAGCACAGCACTAAAAATCTAAAGCCATTTCTGCATGAGTTCCATCCCCCGCACGGGAGGTGAGTCACTTGGCCCAGCAGACCTCTCCTGACCTGCCCACTGCTCCCCTCAGCAGTGTACGTCAGTCGGCCTGTTCTGCTCCCCACTTTGTCTCTGGTGAATCTTCTCACTGCCCCTGCACCTCTGGCCAGTACTGCAGTTTTATATGCATAAATAAATCTTTAAAAAATAATAAAATAAAATAAAATACATAACTGGTAATCTGGATTCTTGCAACCTGTGGTCAAATTTTTAGCTACAGTCATACCTGCTGGGGCCCCTCTAGACAGACCCTCCCCCCCCACCTCCCAGATTTTCCCTGAAATAGTGTCACAACTGATGAGATGACCTGGATCAGGTGTTGCGTTCCACCAGCAGGTGAGGTCAGGGTGGGTAATAAGAGCAGAAGATGATTCCTCTAAGGTGTTTCATGGCCCTGGCATTTCATGGCAACTTAAGCCAGAGGCTCTGTCTTCCCCTTTCTGTGACCCTGCCTCTGCTGTGACCCTGGTCACAGGAACTTGGCCCAACAGTGCACTTTGATCTTATACTTCTTGTACTTCTTGCTTCTTTCACTTGGGGAGAACCAGTGTTTCACATAAGCATTTTTTTTTGGTCTGGTGATTTCTCCAACTCCTTAGATTATTTTCTGTGGGGAAGTTGTGCTTAGCATGCCCGTATTTCTCACTTCCTAGGCACTTCCCACTCCTGGCAAGCTGTTTGTAACTGCTCCCAGTGCAGCAGCCCCACATATGAACTCAGTCTCTCCTTCAATGAACATCTTGGCACGTGGGCCCTGTGCTCTGGGTGTGGGTCAGGAGTGAGGAGTGCTGCACTGTGAGCTTACTAGCATGCTCTGCTCACTAGGCGAATGCCACATTTGTCAATAAGTTGGAAAAGTGTCACGAAGTTAAATGTTAGCACCCAAACAAAAATGCAAACAGAAAGCACCAAGTAGCCCTACTTACTCTTTCCCATTTGGTTCTGCCTGAGCCATGCTCTTTTCTCAAGTCTGTCCAAGACATGGGACTCAGGCCTCTTGGCTCTTGGCTGGAAGGTTTTCAACTTACAAGATCCCTATAGGCCTGCTCACGTCTCTTACTTTATTTCAAAACAATCAGTCTGCACTGATTCTAGAAGCCAACATGCACTGGTGTTATCACCATGGAAAAGTTTGACTTTATCTTAAAATTGTTTTTGCTTTGAACTATTTTCTTCCTTTTCTCTGTCAAATGGGAAAAGAAAGTTCTAGGATATTTCTTGAGGAAATTGCTATATAAAAATCTATCATGTGAGCTTTTACCCTGTCTGAACTTATAGTAGTAGAAAGGAAACAGAGAAAGACTGTAAGCCTAACAATCTCAAAAGTATAAGGGGATTCTTGCTGATTCTTATGCACCCACCGTCACAGGGCACCGAGTGACAAGCGGCCTCTGATACCAACAGGGGGCGCTGCAGTGGGGGCCGGAGGCCTCTGGTTCCCCGGCTGGACTGGTGCCTGCTGGATGTGCCTCCCTGCCGTGGTGGTATCATCCATGCTAAGTCAGGGCCTTTAAGTTGCTCATTCTCTCCCTTCCTAACCAGGGGCTCCACCCTGAGAGCCTTCAAGGTTACTGTCTTATACAGACTTCCGAGTTGAGGTTAGTACAAGCCCTAGAGCCAAAGAGTCAGAATTGAACCCCAGTCACACCATACTCTCTCTGACTGTGAGCTTCAGTTTTATCATCTGTGAGCAGAGTTAGTAGCTTCTTAGGGCTGTTGTAAGTGTATGGATAAAGGGAGCAAATGTTAGTCCTTACTCTGGCCTGGGCACAGTTCTAAATGCTTTCCACATGTCACCCCAGATGAGGGGTTCTTAAAGAGTGTCTGCTGGCATAGAGTGAGTGCATAATAAATGTTAGCTATTTTCCTACCAGTCTCTAATGGGTTAAAGTTGAAGTCTTTCAACAAAATCTCAAATATCACAGAAAGACAATCTCACAGGGGGGTCTTCTGAATTGCTGTAACATCCATGCACAGATAGACCCTGAGTTCACATCCAGTAATAAATAAGTCCAAGAAGTGAACTAAATCGTAAGTAAAATCCCTAAATGGTAATCCCAAGTCGTGGCATCGGAGCAGGGCGCTGCGGTCAGTCAGCCTGGTGTAAAGCCTGCTCTCACCCTCACAGGCCGGGCTGCCTTGGGTTTCCTCCCATATACAAAGGTGGAAAGATGGGGTCCCCTGGCCTGCTCCTCTGCTCAACTAGCTGTAAGCTCACTGGATCCTGGGAGTTTCCACCCTCAGTTGCCCTATGCAGCCACTAGCAAGTGAACTAAGCAGAAACAGCAACGATGATGGTGATTTTGGTGAAAACTGGGAACTGTAAGGTAGAAGTAAAGAGAAATTAAACTCTGGGATGTCTGCATCCCAGGCCAACCTTCACTGAGGGACTGAGGGGCTGCCTCAGTGTATGTTGAGCATGGGTCTATATATAGACATCAATAAGCATTGAAATGAGCAGCACCAATAAATTATAGTTGCGCCATTTCTGCCCCTTCTAGAGTTAGAAAATAATTTAGAAAGGCAGTCTTAAATTGCCCCTTAACTTCCAATCAGTGCAATTCCCAACATACTCTCTGAGTCCTCTCCTCTCTGTCATGAGTCGCAACTGGGTCATCAGACAATTACAAGCACATAAATAAACCTGCGGCAACCCTGTTTACCCAAACAGCTCTCAGCTGCTGTACCTTGTGCCCAGGTTATTAAGGAAGGTACATTTTATTGCTTTCAATCAGTGCCTATCATTGCCCAATCCTATCCATTCACCACAAAACACAGGCTCCCTCCAGAGAAGCATCTCTCAGATGAACCCAAAGAAGTTGGGCAGATTTGATACAGGGACAGGGGGAGGTCACTTCAGTACCCCAAACTTCAGCCTCAGTCAAGATGAAACTGCATTCTCAACTCCTTGGACTAAGTGAGAGCAAGATACTTTTCCTGGCATTTGTCCCCCCAATCTCCCACAGCCTAATGCACCCTGGAAATGTTGCAGTAATGCAAAGACTTCTGCCTAACAGGATAAGAGATGCTTTTCTGGGCTATAACAGAGATTTGGGAAAAGGAAGCTGTGGAGAGTAGCTTTAAAGACATCATCTGTAGAAATGCTGAATGGGGGAGTGACCTCTGAGGACATGGTGCGTCAGCCCATGTGGAACCCTGGGCCATTAGCAAAGCTGACCTCAACCCCAGGGAGGCAAAGTTGCCTTCTGAGCAAGGCCATGCTGTTCCCAGGCAGGTGTGGCTACAGGGGTGGGGAGTGCTGTAGGGAAAGCAGATTGGAGAGGCTTATTGGGAAGAGAGGTAAGAGAGAACACATTATCCTTATCAGTCGCATAGGAGGCTCCTGCTGATCTGTCATCAAGGTCAGTTCTGTAGGAGTAAATAATGAAAAGTATGGCAATTTGGTCAAAAGCCTATCAAGGGACCTTCAGAAGTAGACCTTCCTCTAGGCAGGTACTGATCTGTGAGTCAGTTCACCCTAACTTTCTGGGGCTATTAGCCAGCAAGGCTTATGAAGAAGGAGAGAAACATTGGGAAGGGAGAAAGAGGAAGGAAAGAGGTGAGAGGAAGGAACATGTAGGAGGGACTTTGAATGTGCTGCACCTAACCCACCTTTCAACCCCAGAACCTGTGCCTGGCTCTCCAGTGACTTAGAACTTGCACATCTCTTGTATATTCTGCACCAGCTCTCAGATAACCAGACACAGCCATCAGCCTATGTACAGGCTCTGGGCCCTGCTAACTGTGCAATGACTCTGTCCTGGTCCATGGCTCATCTGTGATTTCTGGTACACAAAGGGCAGGAACATGTACCCCTGTCCCTTCACAGGTCTTGCCTTGCTGGGATCATGGCCTTGATTGTCCTGGGATCACATGCTAGACCCACTCTTCCTCCAGAAGGCCCTAGGACCTTGGCCTCAGCCAATCAAGGGCATTCTTTAACTCTCCTCACATACGGATCCCTATATACCTGCACTACCCCCAGAACTGAGATCGGAATGATGCTCAGGCTGAGGAAATCATGTATACTAGCAAAGGCCACTCCACCAGAGCAGACACTCACCGGTAAATGCCCAAGGAGAGGTGTGATACTGTCAGAAACATAGAGGATGCTGCCGTCCGTCGTCACTGCAATGATGAAACCATCTAATGCCTGTGGAAATGCAATGGTGGAAAGCTGTTTAGTCATGCTTTTATGGAGATGTCCCCAAAGCAAAGGACCCCAACTATAACTGTTTATAACTCTTAGAACCTTTCCATGAATAACCTCATAGCACATTTCTACCTGTTGTACAGGATGGTTTCTCTCCCAGAATTTGCCTAGTTTAGGTTAAAGTCTGGTAAAGCACTAATCTGACCAGTTGGCATCATGAAATAAAATTTTGCCATGGAAATTACCTAAGTAGCTTTACTGATAAGCATATTACTGGGCTGGATCACAAACACGCAATGATCACTAAAAAATGTCATTGATATTTTATGGTCCCAATTCCCCTACCCACAATGCCACCTTGGTTAAAGATAAATATTAGCTGAAAGCTATCATACATAATAGATACTTTAAAAACAAAGTCTTTGAGCTGGTCAAGGCTACCTTAGCCTTCATTCTTGCTATCAGAGAACCACCTCCTGAAGGACCATCATTCCACAGGAGGAAGAAGTAAGAGCTGAGGGCAACTGTGCTGTGTAATTCAACTACTGATAAATCCTTAAGTATTTTGTAATGTTTGAACAATCCATTCACTTGGAGGTATTTACCAATTGCCCACGCAGCCAGCACACTGCTCTGGAAGCTCATGACAGGAAAGCAGAAAACAGACACTGTTTTCTCCCAGAGACACTTTAGCTGTTTTTTTTTTCTTTTTTTTTTAGATTCCTTATTGTATGTTCATAATGCTTTCCTCAGACATACCTGAAAGTTGATTTCTAGAATTATACAAGGTAATTCAGCAGAGATGGGTTTGAGAGGATTAACAGGTGCAAGGAATGAGATGGAAGAGATAAAAACCTCACCAGAAAGCAAACTATTGAGGGAGGAGAACAGCCAGGTCCCCTTCTACTCCAAACCCGTCACTGCCACTTTTACTGTCTGGATCACTGCACTATCATCCTACTCGAATAGAGGAATTTTTCCGCTTTGGAAAGCAAACAAAAAAAAGATCCTGAAATTTGCACTTAGAAAATAAATATTTGTATGCAGTTAGCTAGTTTCAGGGTGTTCCTGGGAATCTGCATAGCCGAAAGGCCACTGATTCTTTCAAGTTAAGAAAATGTGGCTAAGTGGGCTGCAGCAGGAATGGAAATAGTGCACCAACTACACACAGGACACCCCGAAACGCATCAAAGTGTGTTTCTTCTCACCAGGAAAACTAACACTCATGTCATTTATTTTATTATCCAGAAATATTTAATGATATTTTATTAATTAAAACAGAATATAACTTAATATAGTTACTATATGTCATATACTTAAAAATAAATCAAAGCACATATCTTAACTGGATCTCAGCCTTTTGGATTACATTGATGGTTTTCAACCGGGGGCAATTTTGCCACTGGGAGCTTCAGGCAAGGTCAGAAGAGGTTCTCCAGGTGAGTACTGAGGTGGGTGCTGCTGGCACAGAGAGGGTAAGGCCAGGATGCGGGCAAACACTTTCCAACACACAGGATGCCTCCACAACAAAGTGTTGCCTGGTCTAACTGTCAACATACTGAGAAATCCAGGTTGAGAAACTCTGATTTAGATTTACGGTCATGGTGCACTTTGATTTCCTCTTCCCTCAGGTACTTTGCTAAATAGATTTTTAGATTCTACTTGCAGTCCTTCTGGAAGTGAATTTCTAAAAAGAAGTGGGGACCCTGTTAATGATGCCAGTAGAATACTTTTGGAAAAGCAGATTAGAATACTGGGCAAGGCAGGGCCACAGAGGGTCTTCCTGCCCAGGCAGCGTGTGCCCCTCCTGACCTGGTGGAGCAGGTGGGTGTTAAAAAACTGCCGATATTTATAGATGGGAGATAACATTCATCAGCTCAATGGCATTTTCCATCAAGTGTACAAGAACTGCACTGAGTCACTGAAGTAAAAATGCTTTGCTATGGTTTTACAACTTCCGTCAGCAGCATTTGAGAGTGACTCAATGGAACATGATCACAAAGCGATGTGCCCCTCTCCATGTAAAGGTGACTTTGACACAGGGACACCATCTACAGTGTCCCACATTTTATACTTGCTACATATCCTGAATCTCATGGAGTATGTCTTGTATTTTTTAGGACATCATCTGGGCTAAGAGGAAAGACCACTGCAGCTTCTCTGCACAAAATTCAGAAATGCCACGGAGCTCCTCACCTCTGGTCACTAAGGACTTCCACTCCTTTGGCATTTACTGTGAAATGCATGTAGCCACAACTTTTGCTAGATTGCATTTTAGTAGCTTGGTTGACAGGCAACCAAGTTGTTTTTGTTCTTTCAAACTCTGGAGTCTGGTTTGGGGCCTTCCTAGCAGAAGAGGGAAGAAGGAGGGGTTCATAGCCATAGGGCACCAGAAATTCCGTCTCCCAGGGCCTGACAGATTCTGTCTTCATTTAGAACCGGAACCCCTGGTTACCAAGGCATGGCATCTGGAGGCACATTTTCTATGAAATGTCTCTGAAAAAGGAGAAGGTTGTGCATCTGGACTCTGACATGCTATGAAGATGCCACATGGTGGACAGCAGTGCTGTTATCCTGAGGGGGACCCTGCTGGGGCTCAGACATGGGGGGTGACAGAGGAGGCTCCAGTAATTCATCACCAGGTCTGTGTCTACTGAACAGCAACAGGCTGGAATAGAAGCCTCTGACAGAGGCAGATCAGCAGTACTAACTGGTGCGTTTCTTGGACTCTTAAAGCTGCGATTCATCCAGAAAGCCCCCGGTTTAGGCTTGACTTCGGACCTAATCACTAATCTGGTGTGATTACCTCCAGATCAGCTGCAAGGAGTCAGGACAGAGCCAAGCACAAGGATCTAAAATCTTCCTTTCTAGAAATTCCTGTCACCTGAATCTCAGTCCTGCCTTTCAACCAAAATATTTATTTATTTTTACTTTGTAGCAGTCTTGTTTCCTCAAACACTTTTGATATCTTGAAAGTCACTGGCAAAAATGATCTGTGCTACAGGTTTTTAAAAATAAGCTAGGTACTAGTGTATGTTTTAATTACAGTAAGTCTTTATTTAACATTTTCTATAGATTCCTGGAAACAGTGACTTTGTGTAATGAAAGAAGGTCTTTGAAATATTTTGTTTTGCTCAGTGTCTGTGGGGATTTTTCTCTCCTCGAGGTTATAACGAAATGATGTTGAATGAGACGACATTATTTGTGGACCTGCTGTACTTTTCCATAAGAATTAAAGCCTAAAATGATTTATGTAAAGTAGTATAATGGTGCATTAATTCAACAATTTCACAAGCTGCTCTAAATTTAACATACTTAAAATGCATTGCTCCTGGAGAAAGTTCTGTATTTTCTTTAAATATAGTTCACATGTAGATTTAAGACTCTTTCATTTTATGCAAATGTTCATTAATGCGTTTATATTTCATAATATTTGGACATCTTCGTTCTGGCATTTTCTTACTCCAGGACTTTCTGTTTTCTGCACAGTTAATCTATGTAAATTAAAGTTTACATCAGTCTTATATAGGCACATAAGATGAGATAGTGAAAGGTTTTATCCCAAGAAGCTCCTCTCCAAACGCCCTGCCATGATCCTCCGCACACAGCCCGAGTCTAACTTTCTTTTACTAAAACTAACTGGTCCTAGTTTATCCGAGATCACCCGATCATCTGGACATGCCACATCTCGCACTTTCTCTCGCCCACTGTCAATTCCACTCACTCCTAGTCCTAGCCCTAGGGTTTTGTCTATAAATAAACATATGATCGCTCAAGTAATGCCACTGGTGGGGCTCAGATTTTCACAAGTCAGCCCTGCCTCAAGGTGGGCACCAAACCATCCAAAGGGAGAGTGCTGAGGAGGAGACAAAGGGTCACTTCCGCTTGACACCCACACCCTTGTTGGTATAAGATGGCCTCAAGGTAAAAGTCTAACTTAAAAAAACACTTTTATTGGACCCTCCCTGGTGGGGTAGCTAAAACCACTTCCACATAAGTTCGATCCCTGCCCCGGGGGTGACCCACATGGCGTGGCAGACCTCTCCTGGCTGGTAGCTGCTCCCCTCAGCAGTGTACTTTGTCCATCTGCCTGTTCTGCTCTCCACTCTGTCTCAGGTGAAGCCTCTCACTGCCCCTGCACCTCTGGCCTGTACCCCAGTTCTGTATGCATAAATAAATAAATCTTTAAAAAAAAACTTTTAGTTTCAAAATGTATTCCTCAAAGGGGAGAAATTTAAGCATTACAATCTGAAGGTGAGAGGCTTTGAATCAAATGGCAGTGTGGAGCCGCCATCTTCCCTCCCTCTTTCCTGTCACTACCTGTCCTCCAACCCCAGCCCCACCAGTGTCCCCTGCTAAGTGTCCTCTGGTTGAGAGAACACGATTGTGTCCCCCCTTGAGGGCACTGTGGCAAATGGCTCAAGTTCTGGTTGGAGATTCGCGCTCATAGCCCCCAAGTCAGAAGCCATAATGCAAGCTATTGCAGGCAGACCTGCAAAGGGTTTCTATTTCAAGACCTCTTTCCAGGGTCCAGAGTTGTTGCTGACTTTCAGCCCAGGGTCTTAGATGGAGTAAGTAGCTACAGTTTAAATTGAAACTGAATTTTACCTCCAACATCAGCTGAGTGAATTCTTCATTACTGAGGAATGAAGGTTTCCAGTCTTGCTGAATGTCACAGATTTCTGTTTGTGCTGAGACTTCTAAAAAAAAAGGGGGGGGGGTAAATTTTTATATTTAAAGGTACCAAGAAATTGGAATTAGCCAGCAAGGCATATATTACTTCTATGTAATTTTATGTGAATTTCTGTGTAGTTTAATAGAAACCAATATATAGAAGTATCTCACCCTGATTCCAAGGGCTGGGAACTTTGGTTGTAATGAGCTTAAAAACACTTCCTGATATTTCCACATCCCTTTAATGATGCTTAGGGGAGGGAGAGTACCCCACCCTCTTCATGGGTGTAGTGTCAGTCACTTAACAGGTGGCACAGTCCCCAGAATCGCCATCATCAGTGGCTAGAGCTAAACAGTTGCTACCTGTTAGGGCAACAGGGCAAAAACGAAAGATTGGGGTGGTGGGGCCCATTTTTAAATAGCTTTTAATGGTCAGGGTGAAGCGAAAACACTTCTTCGATGCAATGTAGATTTTCAAAATTCTAGAAACATTATGTGGTAAATAACTTACCCAGTCTATGAAGAAAAAAATGTTTTTTTTTTTCAACATTTCCAGTCACTGAAGTAAAATGTGCCATATAAGCACATGTGATTTAGTTGCTTTGAAGGTCATAATTTCCTTTCCTCAAGAAGTTTTTCTGGCTAATCTCTGGTTCGATAGGTTCACATAACTATCTTGCACTGAAGAGAAATTCAGTAGTCATTGGTCTATCTGGGACGCCTTCAATACTCTCAGTCTTGCCTTTTTTGAATGAATAATGTATTTTCTTGCTGAAAATTATCTGAGATTCTCACAATAGTTCAACTGCTATATAGAATATATTTGTTTTCCCTACCACTTACCCTCTACTTTAAAATAACTAACATTTGGCTCACTTTATAATAAGAGGCAAGTTGCTTTAGGGATCATTTCGTTGGTGCTATGAAAAACCAGAGTCTATGATTTATCTCCTACCTCAAAGGAACTTCAGCAACTTCCTGGAAAATTGTTCAAGCAGATACTCTAAAACTTTAAACACTTAAAGCTTTTTCTGTTGACCCTGGTTGTTGGGACTTGGAGAATGCATCTTGCCACTGGAGTGAACGAATATGAATGACTTCAGCGGTTACTTGTGAATGAAGATAATGAGAAGGGCTAAGTTACATGTGTGACTACAGAAGACTTCACAGGCTCAGTCACCCAACATTCCCTGCAATGCTCAGCTCTGTCAGGAAGGTTTCTCCCTTCTCTATTTCAAGAAGAACAAACTGCAAATTGCTGCTATTAAATAAAGTTGGACTTTTGCCTTTCAAATGAACCACTCACAGCCCCTACTCACAAATGCAGAAAATAACCGAGGAGATGGTCAGTCTCCTTATGGGACCAGCTTATGGGACCTCACAGCTTATGGGGCCTCACAGCTGGGTGCCCCTGTGCCCAGAGTATGCACTTGGTGAAATGTATGTGGGAAAGTAGAGTGAGCAGTGCACTCACAAATGTGGGTCAGAGTTCATCCTGGGGTATCAGCTGAGACAAGGAATTAAGGATGAGATTTCCAGCAGGCCTTCAGACAATTGTTTGCCACAGTTTGACCAGTTAGAAATGACCAGAGAAATGCAACAAATTAACTCCTCAGTGCCTTCCTCTTCCTCCCAACATAAGCACTCCATCTGTGAGATTCTTTTGACTATCAGTATCAAACTATATGTTGACTGCTTGTCCAGGAGAAGAGTCTTTATAGCAGCCCAAATTTGATTAGAACACCATTGGAATTAATGTAAAAGAAAATAAAAGGCTCCTTTAAGTAGCTTTTATATCATTTGATATGACTGGATATTTTCTGAACAACAGCGTAACAATACTGAGGACTGCCATTTCATTCACTGCACAATTCAACAACTGGATTATAATTCTTAAAAGTTAAGGCTGAATCCATAACAAGTTTGAGCAAATGACTCATAGCAAATTAAAAACTGTGAAAATTGGAAATAAAATTCCGTGTTACATACATTTCTTCATAGGCATTTAATATGATTAGTATCATAAACTACAGGGCAGGATTAGCAACAGGGGATGGTCAAAGAAAAAGGAAACAAAACCATTCTGGGGCTGATTTTTGTAGAAAGAATTGCAATTAACAGTTGAACCCCACAACTGTAGAATAAACTGGAGTTAAGCCCTAGAATGTTTGCCTCCCCTTTGCTCCTGATATATGTAAACAAGAAGCTGTACACTTTTGGGCTGCTTGTGGTTAAAAAAAAAGTCTGAAAAATGGGTCAGAAACTCTCTGCTGGGCTATGTAAACACTACTGTGTCCAACAGGGACATGCTCTGCAGCCTTCTCCACCCACCTCCATCCACTGAGGCAGACATGTTGAAGGTCATGAATGGGATGGGAATGGGATTTGGACAAGGAAAAAATGACACTAAGTCAGCTTGAGGAAGAGGAAAGCACACAGATCAGTCTGGTCCTCAAAAAGTAACATTTAAATGAGCATGGCTATGGATATCTAATATGCCTTGCTATTTACATAATTTAAGGGTTTCTCTCTTATAATAGATACTGCTGACACAAAATTTCTCTACAAAGAAACATGGTAAGATTCTCGTTTTGAGTTAGATTACTTCAAAGAGAATAGTACGCATTCCAGGATCAAGATTTAGCCCTTAAGCGGAGAAAATAAGGATGCTTGAAAGATGACTGAGGAAAGAACTAAATATTTATAATGTCCACCTAGGCCTAATCATCTTTCCCCATTTATCGTCTGGCACCCCTTGAGCACAAAGGCAGCAAGCACATCTAAATTCACAGTTCTTATTCCTGGCTGCATGCTGCAATCACCTGGGGAGTTTAAAAAAATCCTACCACCAGGACCTTACCCAGTGGTGTGCTGATAAATGGCTCTCCACTCCTATAACAGAAATCCAGATGGGTGGTGTTTGCCCATTTCCCTGGTGTAAATACTCCCACCATGAAGTTTACAATCTACTATTTGGAGGCCAAATGGCTTACAAAACTTATGAAAATTTAACAATCACCTTTTGTTTTTCAAAAGATTTTATTTTTGCATACAGAAATGGGGTACAAGCCAGAGATACAGGGGTGGTGAGAGGATTCACCGGAGACAGAGTGGGGAGCAGGACAGGCAGATCAACAAAGTACACAGCAGGAGGGACAGGAGAGGTCTGCTGCACCATGGGGGTCACCTCTGGGCAGGGATCGAACTTGCACTGAAGCAGCCATGGCTTGGTTTAGGTTTGCAGTGCAGTGTTTCAACTCGTTGCACCACCAGGAAGGGCCAACAATCACCTTTTGTAAGCTGGTAGTCAGATCCAGCTCACAACTGGGATTTCATCCCTAGAAAATTCAGATTTATTTGTCTGTGAGGTATGACCCAGTTTTATACATATTTGAAAAGCTCCTCAGATGATTCTAATGGGCAGCCAAGGATGAGAACCAGTAGTCTAAATGGTCCACTCATGAACATCTGACCTGGCACAGCTATAATACAATATGTAAAGGGGCCCATGAATCATCTCTTATGGAGAAGCAGTATGGAGCAGTGATAAAACTGGTGCTCTAGAGACATACTGCCTGGTATGGATTCCACATCTTCCTGGCTGTGACCTGGAGGTCACAGCATCTCTGTGCCTCAGTTGCTTCATCTGTGAAAGAGTACTCATTCAAAGGTTACCGGGAAGCTCAGATGAGTTACTGTACGTAGAGTCCTTCGAACAATGCCTGGCTCATGATGGGCCCTGCATCTACACTGAACAGTATCTGCTACCCAACTGCAGATGCCTGTGGAGGTCATGTCCCTTTGGATTATAAACAAAGAAAAGTTATTGTGTGTTTTGTTTTTACTTTAATACAACTTTTGGCCTAACCACTACATATCTTCATAAAATATGCTATGGATTTTGTTTTGTTTTTCCCCCCAGATATGGAGTCAGTAGGATGAGTGAGGTCCTGGTTGCATGGAAGCAGGCTCTGCAGAGTATGCTTTCATCTTATGAAAAGGGCGAGACGGAGAGAGGAGCTCCTGAGGCTGCCTTTCTGCTGACTGATACTTTCCAGGTCCCAGATTTGATAATTCTGTAATTCCACAGTGGAGAGAGCCCAGCATAAATGTCACACTGATGAACTTGATCCCAGCTGTCCTATTTAACAGCTGTCCTGCTTCTCAGTGGCACTGACCTAGTTTGAGTAATTTGAACAAAACATCTTGGTAATGAAATCAACCTGCTATTTTACTTGGCTAAATCATTATTAGGAAATATAACCATTTTGATTAAATTATTTGGACAATCAAATAGTGCAACAACACTTTATTCCAACTTGTTCTTCCCTTTTAACAAAAGCAATTAATGTTTTCTTTACTCTCCTCTGGGCAGCTTTGGGGGGTGGGGTAGCTATATCATTACTGTCACATTTTAATAGGTATATATAATTATTAAAGAAACAGGAAAAGAATAGCAAGTATAATGAAACTTTCCAATGTCTCAGCAATGCCCTCTTCCATGAAATCATCTTGTCTAGGAAAATGTGCAGTGAAAGAGAAGCATCATGAAAAGCACAGAAGAACTGTAATTATCTCCTCAATAATCTGACATTTCTGACTTTATTATGTTTAGTGTCACAGTTAAGGAGAAAAGAATTTGCTCTTCTTGCTTGTTAATAGCTACTGAACCCTCTTATCTTCCCTCCAATATGTTTTGTGTACCATTCATAGGTGAGTGGCAGGGCAGGGCAGTCACTGCAAGAGGTAAGAGGGCTTGAGGGAGAGTAAAAAGAAAAGCCTGTGATTTGAAAGAGACATAAGTTCCAGGACTGATTCAGTAACAAGGTCATATTATGGGATGCATTATACCAATGAAAAAGAAATAACCACAGCACTGGATGAACAGAGACTAATCTCACAGACATCATGTTCCTAACATTTGATTCCTTCTGAATAAGTCCGACAGGCAAAATCAATCCGTAGTATGTGAATTCAAAATAGAAATTAGCTTTGGGGAAAGCAGAGGTAGATAGGAAGGGTATCTACTGGGGAAATTTCTATTTCTTGATCTGGGTGTTAGTTTCTCAGCTGTGTTCCCTTTGTGGTAACTAATCTAACTGTGATTTGTGTGCTTCTTTTTTTAAAAAGGATTTTTATTTTACCTGTTTTTTACATAGAACTGGCATATAGGCTAGATGTACAGATGGTGAGACGATTCATGAGAAATACAGTGGGGAGCAGAACAGGTGGATATACTGAAATACACTGCTGAGGGGAGCAGTGGGCGTGACAGGAGAGGTCTGCTGCACCAGGAGAGGAGGAGAGCAGTGGGCATGACAGGAGAAGTTAGCTGCCTGGCCAGGGATAGAATTCAGGCCAACACAGTGGTAGCATGGAGACTTAACTCCTAGGCCACAATGGAGGCCTGACTTGTGTACTTTCTGTTTGTATGTTACATTTTTGTAAAATATTAAGCTGCTTAAAAAACGGGAATGCTGGGCCCTCCCTAGTGGTACAGTGGGTTAAAGCGCAGCACTAAGAAGCTAACGCCACTTCAGCATGAGTTCGATCCCTGTCCCGGAGGTGATCCACATGGGGTGGCAGACCTCTTCTGACCTGCCTGCTGCTCCCCACAGCAGTGTATTTCGTTGATCTGCCGGTTCTTCTCCCCACTCTTTCTCTGGTCAACCCTCTCACTGCCTCTGTATGCACCTCTGGCAGTTCTGTATGCATAAATACATAAATCTTTAAAAAAAAACTGTAATGCAGGTTTCGAAAAAGTTCAACACCCATTTATGTTTAAAGCCCTCGAAATCTTCAGAATAGAAGGAACATACCTCAACATGATAAAAGCCATATATGACAAACCCATAGCCAATAATATCCTCAATGGAAAAAAGCTGAAAGCCTTTCCTTTGAGATCAGGAACAAGACAAAGTTGTCCACTATTGCCACTGCTGTTCAACATAACACTGGAAGTTCTAGCCAGAGCAATAAGACAGGAAAAAGACATACAAGGAATACAAATAGGGAAAGAAGAAGTAAAACTGTCCTTATTTGCAGACGATATGTAATTTACATGGAAAACCCTAAAAACTCCACAGAGAAACTAATCAAAACCATCAACCAGTTTAGCAAGGTAGCAGGATATAAAATCAACACACAAAAGTCAGAGGCCTTCCTATACACAAACAACCAATCAGAAGTAGAAATAAAAAAAAAAAATCCCCCTTTCAATTAAAACAAAAACAATCAAATACCTGGGAGTCAACCTAACAAAAGAGGTAAAAGACCTATACAAAGAAAATTACAAAACACTGTTAAAAGAAATACAAAAAGACACCATGAAATGGAAAGACATCCCCTGCTCATGGATCAGGAGAATTAACATCATCAAAATGGCCATCCTACCAAAAGGGATATGCAGATTTAATGCCATCCCAATAAAAGTCTCAATGACATTCTTCAAAGAAATAGAAAAAATATTGATGAGATTTATATGGAACAACAAAAGACCTTGAATAGCCAAAACTCTCATGGCTAAGAAGAAAGAGAATGGAGGCATTACAATCCCAAACTTCAAGCTATACTACAAAGCCATAAAAATCAAAACTGCAGGGTACTGGAACAAGAATAGACATACAGACCAGTAGATTTGAGTACTAAACCCAGATATAAACCCACAGTTTATGGGCAGCTAATTTTTGACAAAGCAGCAAAGAAGATACAATCGAACAAAGAAAGTTTGTTTAGCAAATGGTGCTGGGGAAACTGGGAAGCTACATGCAAAACAATGAAACTAGATTCCTACCTCACACCATACACAAAAATTAACTCAAGGTGATTAGAGACGTAGACATAAGAACAGAAACCATTAAATACCTGAAAGCAAAGATAGGCCAAACACTACACAATATATACTTCAGCAACATCTTTAAAGATAGTGAAGACAAGGATAGTTAGATGGGGCTTCATCAAGTTAAAGAGCTTCTGTACAGCAAAAGAGACATTACAAAAGACAGACATCCCACTGACTGGGAAAAAAATTTCTCACACAAAACAAGTGATAAAGGATTGATCACAAAGATATACAAGAACTGATGAAACTCAACAAAAATAAACAACCCCATCAAAATATGGGCAGAAGAGCTAAAAAGACACTCCTCCAAAGAGATGGCCAACAAACATGAAAAAATGTTCAACATCACTTGTAATAAATGAGATGCAAATTAAAGCCACAATGAGATACCACCTCACCCCAGTGAGAATGGTACATCTGAAAACAATTAGCAACAACAAATGCTGGCAGGGATGTGGAGAAAAAAGAACTCTCCTGCACTGCTGGTGGGAATGCAAACTAGTACAACCACTATGGAAAACTGTTTAGACGTTCCTCAAACTGCTTGATGTGGAGCTTCCATATGACCCAACAATCCCACTCCCAGGTATCTACCCAAAAGACACAAAAACACTGATTCAAAAAGATAGCTGCACCCCCCATGTTTATTGCTACCCTATTTACAATTGGAAAGAGATGGAAACAGCCCAAATGCCCGAAAGTGAATAACTGGATTAAAAAGATATGCTACATATTATACACAATGGAATATTACTCAGCAACCAAAAAAAAAATAAGCACATGTCTTTTGCAGCAACATGGATAGAGCTAGAAAAGATCATGCTTAGTGAAATAAGCCAGAAGGAAAAGGAAAAATACCTGATGGTTTCACTCATAGCAGGAGTATAATGGACCAGGTGAGAAAATAATAATAATAATGAACAGCTATATACCAGAGACATTTTATGGGGTGTTGGGGAATGGGATCAAAAACAGTGGGGGGAGGGAAATGCACTGGACTATGGTGATGGCACATGGGTGATATGGTGAGGGGAAACCCATGGGGGTTACAAATGAGATGAAAAAATGCACAAAATAATGTAAAAATAAACTATTATATTATTATTTAAAAAAAAACTTTAATGCTGGGATAGCTGGATATCTACATACAAAAGGATGGATTATAACTCCCTACACATCACTCCATATTTAAAAGTTAACTCAAACATTTAAATGTTCTTTGTACAGTTTTTACCTACCTAAGTGTTTAAAATTTAAAAAACTCCTAGAAGAAAATAAAATATAGGAATAAATCTTCATGGCCTTAGATTAGACAATGGTTTCTTAGATATGATATCTAAGGCACAAGCAATCACCAGCACGATAAATTGCACTTCATCAAGCTTAAAACTATTGTGTGTTTAATACACGCAATACATCATTAAGGAAGTGAAGAGACAACACACAGAACAGGGGAAATATATCTGTTAAGGGCGTAGAATCCAGAACATATAAAGAACTTTTACAATTCAACAAAACAATAAACAATCCATTTTTTAAAAGTGGGTGAGGAATTTTAAGATATTTCTCTAAAGTATATATACAAATGGCCATGAAAATTTCAAAACTTAAGTTTTCACGGAAATGCAAATGAAAACCACAATGAGATATCTCATCACAACCAGTAGTCAACATATGCGCGTGCACACACACACACACACACACACAATCAAGTGTTGGTAAGGATGTGGTGAAATTAGAACCCTCAGACATTACTGCTGAAAATGGAAAATGGTACAGCTGCTATATAAAACAATCTGGCAAGTCCTCAAATGCCAGGAGCCATTTGCCCTAGCAAGTCCACTATAGGTATATACTCAAGAGAATTAAGAAATATACATCCGATCCTCCGTGGTGGCTCAGCAAGTTAAAGCACAGCACTGAGAAGCTAAAGCCACTTCCGCATGAGTTCGATATCCGCCTGCCCCCGGAGGTGACCACAATGCGTGGCAGACCTCTCCTGACCCACCCACTGCTCCCCTCAGCAGTGTACTTCGTCGATCAGCCTGTTCTGCTCCCCACTCTGTCTCTGGTGAATCCTCTCACCGCCCCTTCGCCTCTGGCCGTACCCCAGCTCTGTATGCATAAATAAATCAATCTTTAAAAAACTATACATCCACTCAAACACTTGTACATGTTAGTAGCAGTATTATTTATAATATCCAAAATGTGGGGAACAAACCAAATATATGTCAGCTGCCAAACATGATAAAAATGGACTTGCTAAAATATGGATGGTGAATAAAGAAGCCAGGAACAACAGACCATTTGTATGAAATGGCCAGAACAGGCAAACCTATATAGAGACAGAAAGTAGATTAGTGGTTACCAGGTTATGGGGGGCTGGGAGAGGTAATAGGAAGTGTCTGCTAATGGATATGGGGTTTCTTTTGGGATGACCAAATTAAATAATAGTGACGGTTGTACAGTTTCGTGAATATACTAATGCCCATTAGATTATAAATTTTAAAAATGGTAAATTTTGTGTATATGAATTATATACCAATAAAAAATGGATTTGACATTGTTTACAATTAATTTTGTTTTTCACACTGTAGCACAGAAGGCCACAGTGATTAAGGATGATGACAGAGATAGATGGAGAAACCAGTACAGTCTGATCAGGGAAAATGATCACTCAGGCACTGCATGAAAAATGCTTGCTCCGGATATTTCTAATCAAGACACTCCTATTGTTAACACCACCCCATCTGGGTGCTACCTGTAAGGTGACTTGGAGTCTCACCTCTGACAATTACAAAATGGGGAGGAGAGTGTCCGCTCCCAAACCTGCTGGAGATGGAGCTATCCTACAGGGTGGAGTGCCAATGACTGGTGAGACTGGTCATTGCTGGGGACAGAGAACCAAGCAGAAAGACTAGTCTGATGAGGTAATCACCAAATGCAAAGGGCAGGAACAGAACACAAATGACGAGAAGCGTAACCTTTACCATTATGTTTCTGCAAAAATCCGATAACCTTCTCCAGCACAGTGGTTTTGTCCATTTTCCGTGTGTTGCCAGGGAGCATGGAGCTAAGTTCTTTGATGAGCACATTGAACTGGTCCCGACGCTTCTTCTCAGACTTATTTCGAGAAGCTCTGTAAACACAAAATGCACAGATTATCCAACATTCCACCTCATAAAGGCTTTATCAAGAAATGGAGTTACTTCCCATCAGAGCATGTTCTTTTGGGATCATCTTATCAAAACACTTTCAGGGAAAGTAACATTCGCCACATTTCAAAGCTGAGTAATGGGAACACAAAAATATTTTGCAGACTCTTGGCCACACAGAGAGACAGATTTAATAAGGAAGCTCTGAGTCAGATGCAAAATCTTACACAGGTTTGCGCTGTGTCCAGATGCTGCTCACTCTGACCTTCCAGCACAAACAACATGCTGTTCATTAAGGTGGCTGCCTGCAGCCAGAGGGGTTCACGCTGTCAGCCTCCTCTGGGCCCAAACCAGGTCCCCTCCCACCCAGAACACCCAGCCTCTGGTGCCAGCTCATGGGGACTGCCCAAGTGTTCTGAGAGTCCAGCAGAGAGCCAGGCCCTCCCAGGGCACGTCTTGGCTTCTCCCCAGAGTGCTTCATCTTGCTGGGGAGACAAGACACCCCACACAAAAGCACCTCTGAGCTGCGCCCAATCCAGGGCCAACCTATGACAGGATGGCTCGCACAGGGTTGTCAAGTGGCTAAGAGCAGCTGCTGAACCTCTTCAACAATGACATGAAAGGAACTGAAATGAAAATTACTAAGTGGAAGAAACCCGTCTGAGAAGGCTACACACTGTGTGGTTCCAACGATGGGTCACTCTGGAAAAGGTGCAACTATGCACCTTGCAAGGAGTTCAGTGGTCACCAGTGGTGGAAGCAGGGGAGAGAACAGCCGTGGCACCGAGGGCTTTTGGGCACTAAAACTGCTGTGTAAGGGATGCTAGTGACCGGGACACGGCCGACGTGCCCCACGGAAGGAACGCCACCAGGACGTAATGTGATGTAAAAACAGGGCGCTGGTAATAATGCTGCGTCACTGTAGGTTCATCAATGTATCAAATGTACTGTCCTACACTGGATCATGTGGTGGGGCTGCTGATAATCACAAGGATTCACCTTCCCTCGGGAGGTATCAGAAGCCACAGGCGTTTGTATCAATACTCTGCTTCCCCTAACTTGGAACATAGGAACGCATTCCACATAGCCTTTCCCTGGCTGCCACGGCGGAGGTAAGTACTGTTCACCTCTCTGCCTAATCACACACACCCTAGCTTGACTCCAACACCCATTTACAAGGAGTCTTTGCTGGTTCCCTTTCAATTTGGGCTGTTTTCTGATAATACCCGAGGGCTTCTACAAAGCTCACCTCAAGTGTATGGTCACTCCTCTTTCCAACTTTGCTTTTGCTTATTCCTTTCTCTTCTTGGATGTTTGGGAGGACCTGAAATTCTTAAGGGGTTTCTACAAAGGTCTTGTTCCTGGCCGGTGAAACTCTCTTCACATTTGTTCTTTTTCCCAGTCACAGACTGACTGTAGGTGTATCATCAGCACGATGCTGAGGTGCCTTTTTTTTTTTTTTTTTGCCGTCCAGGGTAAAAAGCAGTGTTCAAACACATGGGAGAGAAGAAAGGAACCTTTTAACTTTCTGAGTGACTGTCTATGCATTATAAATAATTTTTTGGCCTAGATTTTAAAGAATGACATGCAACCTTCTTCGCCAAAAAAAGCTCCGTTCCTGTCCTACTTTGCCCATTATAAATTATTTGTGAGCCGATAACACCCGGCTCATTATTACTCTGTTCTCTTCTTCAATGGGTGTAATGACAATGAACATGGCCTGGCAGAGAAGATGACAAAGACTTGTATCATTAGTGACAGAAACACAACTTGTTTCTGTCAGTCTCTGCCTGGGACACACTATGATGCCCACTAGAAATCGGTCACTGTCAGCTGGATCCACAGCTCTGAGGCAAAAAAAAGAAAAAGAGCAAAGAATGACCTTATTTTCCATAAGGAGGGCAGCGGGCAGGTTCTGAAACCACCAAACACAAGGCCCTAGGACAACCGGTTGGAAGACACTCAGTCAATCTTTTAAGGCATTATTGACAATGAGTTAAATTCATCCATTCTAAGTTGGAGGAATTTGAGTAATTGTATCACCACCACCAAAACCCAGAAACAACACAACTCTCTCATCCTAAAAGGTTTGATTCTGTAGCGTTGGTTGTTGATCTTCTTCCCTTAACTACAGGAAACCACTGTAATGCTGTTACCTTTTCTTTTTCCTTTTCTGGAATTTCTTATAAATGGAATCAGTCTTGACCTCCATTTAGCAGCCAATTTTTGAGATTTTCCCTTATTTACATATATTAATATTGTAATCCTTTTGACTGCCGATTAGTATCCCATAACACGTGGGTTGCTTCCAGCTTAGGGATATTAAGAATAATGCATTTCTGGGGAACTCCCAGGTGGCACAATGGGTTAAAGCACAGCACTGTGAAGCTAGCCGTAGCTGCATCAACACAAGTTCAATACCTGGCCAGGGAGCTGACCCCCATGCTAGCAGACTTTTCTCTCACCTGCTGCTCCCCTCAGCAGTGTACTCCGTCAATCTGCCTGATCTGCTCCCCACTCTGTCTCTGGTGAATCATCTCACCCTCCACACCTCTGGCTTGCACCCCAGTTCTTGTATGCATGAATAAATAAATCTTTAAAAAAAGAATAATGCGGCCCTCCCTGGTGGCTCAGCGGGTTAAAGCACAGCACTGAGAATCTGGAGCCTCTTCCGCATGAGTTCGATTCCCGCCTGCCCCGGAGGTGACCACATGGCGTGGCGGATCTCTACTGGCCCGCTCGCTGCTCCCCTCAGCAGTGTACTTCATTGATCTGCCTATTCTGTTCCCCACTCTGTCTCTGGTGAGGCCTCTCGCCGCCCCTGAGCCTCTGGCCTGTACCCCAGTTCTGTATGCACAAATAAATAAATCTTAAAAAAAAAAAAAAGAATAATGCTGTTTTGTACAGTCATGTTCATGTCTTTGTGTAGACACACACGTTCGTTTTTTTGTGGGTAAATACACACCCAAGAGAAAAGGAATTTCACTATGAAATTGTTGGGCTAGAAGTATGTTTAATGTTATAAGATACTGCCATGCTGTTATACAAGGTGGTTGTACCATTTTTACATTTCCACCAGCAACATAAGACAGTTCCACTTGCTCTGCCGCCTTACAACACTTGGTAATGCCAGTCGTTTTCCCACTTTAGCCACGGCAGTATTATCTCTGTGATTTAGTGTGCATTTTTCTGAATGATTGATGACGTCGGGCACCTTTTCACATGATTAATGCCCTAACATATTGCTTCTTCTGTAAGTGTTATTAGTCAAGTCATCTGTTTCCAACCAGGTTGTTTGTTTTCTTATTGAGTTTGAGAGAGCTGGGCTAGGAGCGGTGGGAGATGTTGTGTATGTGTGTGTGTGTTTTAAATACACATTGCCACAAGCCTCACCCTTTGATTTTCAATGCGAGGCACTCCGAGTCCCAGGTTATCTTTGATGTCTGCCATGGTACCCAGAAAACATTTTCTGGGCACTTACCACATAGCAGCCACTACTTTAAGTACTTTGCATTTATTAATTCATCATTTCCATTCCACAGGTGATAAAAGTCGAGGCACTGAGAGCTTATGTATCTCAATGGCCAACATCACGACTAGGAAGTAGAACACAGGCGTTCCCAGTCCAGGCAGCACTGACTTTACCTCCTAATATGGCTTCCTCCAAAATCATTGTCACCTTTTGCCTCAATCCCACGGATGGGAACTATGGAAATTGAGGCAGAAAGTCATATAGGGTCAAAATTGGGGTTCCCTTCATTAAGAGACTAACCAAAACCACAGGGAGCAGTTGCAGAGTAGATGAAGAGGGTGAGAAGCAAAGAAGCTCTGTCTAGAGAAAACAAGTGACCAATTTGTACTTTAAAATTAACATCCAGTAAACTTTTTCTTTTGGGCACAGTAAATGTTAGCATATGTATATGTTTATGAAACCATCATCACAATCAAGAGCAGAACAGTTTCCTCATTCTCTCCAAACATGTTACCCTTGGCAACACTGTTCTGTTCTTCATCACTACACTCTTTTCAAGAATGTAATAAATACATTACATTATAAATACAAGCATGCAGCATGTAGCCTTTTGGACCTGGCATCTCCTATCATGTCTAAGGCTTGGATTTATCCAGGCTGGTGTGTCCATCAATACCTTGTGCAAATTATCCCCGGACTGTTTCCTATTGTCTGGGTGTACCATACAGTAGAAGTTGGGTGGCTTCCCATTTTCAGCGATTATGAACATGGCTGCTGTAAACATTTGTGTACAGGTTTTTATGCAAACATATTTTCAGTTCTCTGAAGTAAGTAACCTCAGAATAGGATGGCTGGGTCATATGGAAAGTGTATGTTTAACTTTATAAGAAACTGCTAAACTGTTTTCCGGAGCAGCTATACCATTTTATCGTCTCACTAGCAATGCATGAGAGATCCAGATGTTCTACATCCTCAAGAGTGTTCGAATTGTCAATACCTTTTATTTTAGCTAACCTAAGAGATACACAGTACTCTCATAGGACTTTCAATTTGTGTCTTTCTAATCGCTAATGATGCTGAACATCTTTTCATGTACTGTTTTGCCATCTGCACACTAGTCTTTGGTGAAGCAGCCAGTTATGTCTTCTGCTCATTTTAAAATGGGATTGGTTGTTTCCTCACTGTTGAGTTTTAAGAGTTCTTTAACTATTCTGATATAAGTCCTTTGTTGGATTTGTGATTTGTCAATATTTTCTCCCAGACTAAAAATCTTTCATTTTGATGAAGTCTACCTACACACTGTTTTTCCTTTAGAGATTTTGCTTTGATGTTACTGGTTTTAGGAATCCTTTGCCTAATGTAGGCCACAAAGATTTCCCCTGTTTTTTGTTTGAAGAATTATATAATTTTAAATATTTTACATTAGACTTATGATCCATTTTGACTTAGTTCTTTTTATGATAGACAGCTAATATACTTAAATGTTTTTTCCCTAACATCAGGAA